GGAGCATGGTAGAGGGCAGACAGATTTGGTGCTAGCTACACCTTGACCCGAGGCAGCAGGAAGTTGACTGACTGTCATACTGAGTGAAGCTTGAGAAAAAGACCACAAAGCCCACCCCCACAGTGACATGCTTCCTCCACCAAGACCACACCAACTCCAACAAGGCCACCTTCTAATAGTGCCACTCCCTCTGGGGGCCATTTTCTTTCAAACCACCACAACCTGTAAGCTAAAATAAAACCCCTTTGTTTCCCAATTTGCTTCTGGTCATGGTGTTTTTCAGTCACAGAGAAGAAACCAGGACACCTGCCCTATACCAACAGCTCCTTTCAGTGCTGGTGTTGTGCCCAAATTCTGAACCCCCAAATCACCAAGAGGCCCATTTTGATGCAAAAGCAATGAGTCTTTTATTGCAGTTGTTTAACGAGCTAACCCCATTAGCTCAGGCCCTTCATCAACCCACCATGGCGGATGGCTGGGGAAAGACCCTGAGAAACCACATGACAGAGATAGGACAGTGTAAGGGGAATGTCTAGGGGGTACACACAGGCTCAGGATTGGTGTTGGAGGACTTGCCCTGTGTTGATTGGTCAACTGGTTGTTATGGCCCATAGGCCCTCCCAGGGTGGTTGCTATGCTCTGCACATCATTGCAGTGCACTTGTTGGTAAAGCACACCCAGAGCCGTAAAGCATAGCACCACCAGCTAACTTCTGATTGGTTCCTTGCCACGAGGTGGGCATGTGACCTCCTAGTGACCAAGGCAAGGTCAGGCAAGCACGTGTTAGGCTGTTATGGCTGCCAAAATGGGGAGTTGGTCCCTTCACTGGATCAGGGGAAGAGGAGCACAGGACATCTTATGGTACAAGGTGGGTTAACGACATGCTCAAAGATTGACAGAAGGGTCAGATGACACACATGCCAGCATGAGAGAGGACCTCACAGCCACATCAGGATAATCAAAGCATCAAATGAAATGCACCAGAGAGCTGAGTGGGACAGAAGCCGTGCCAACAGAGATGTGTTTCAGGGTGAAGTATGAAGAGGAAGAGGATATTTTTACACTGCCAAAAAACCTTGTCTCTGAACACTGAATGCAAAGAAGGAAGCGAGAAGAATGACAGACATCACCATGGTGCTGGCCAGCAGAGTCCAGCAGCAGCAGCAGCAGCAGCAGCAGCAGCAGCAGAACCATTGACTGTATGGTACCTGATGGAGCACGGGGAGGATACAAGGGTTCTTCTGCAACGCTCGTAGCAAAGACTTTATGAGGAGTCATCAGGTCCACAGTGAAGGAAGTTCTGCCAAGTAGCTGACTAGTCCACTGTGTCCAGATCACAAGAGATCAGACACGGTTATGAACCATGTGTAATCAGAGAGGGAAATAGAGAAAGAGAGAGAGAGAGAGAAAGAGAGAGAGACAGAGACAGAGACAGAGACACACACAGAGAGACAGAGAGCGACAGAGGAGGAGGAAATAGTACTTGCTGTTCAAGCATGAAGGCCTGAGTTACAATCCCCAGCACCTATGTGGAAATCCAGATGAGGTTATAATACCTGTAACCTCCACACTATGGGGGCAGAGACAAGAGGATCGAATATAGGGCTTGCTGGCCTTACTTCACGTTCAGGAGGGAGCCTGTCTCAGAGGGATATGGTAGAGAGTGATAGAGCACACACCTGCTAACCTCTGGACTCCATGAGCAGAGATACATGCACCCCCTCTGAAAATGCATATATCAGAGGGGGAGCTGGCAGCTCCACACAAAAGCTAGACCCAGGAATTTTTCTAGCAGCAAATTCAAAAGCTTTGATGAAGTTGAGGATTAATGTCATGCCATAACATGGCAAGATTAGCATGCCACCATGCCGTTTTCTGGCTTGATTGCAATAGGTGTATTTTCTATACAAGATTTGCTATGAGGGCCTGGGGTTATAGGGCAATGAGTGGAGAGCTTGCCTAGCACACACAAAGCCTGGGTTCAATCCCGAGTTCTGCATTAACAGGTATGGTGGTCACATGATCAACAGGGGATACACATCTTTGTCTCAAAACTCAAAACAAAGCAAAAATCAGTTTCATAGCCTGGGTCACCTAGTTAGCTTCAGCTGTCAACACAGCCCAGAGTTATCTGAGGGACTCTCAGTTTGGGGGTTGCCTGAATCATATTAGCCTGCAAGCATGTCTCTAGGGCATTTTATTGATTGCTAATTGGCTTAACGGAGCTCAGCCTACTGTGAGTAGTGTTATCTCTCTAAGAAAGGTCACTGAATCACAGCCTGGGAGGAAGCTGGTAAGCAGGGTTCCTCCATGGATTCTGTATTAGTTCATGCTTGAGTTCTTTATTTTTAATTTTTAATAAATTTACTTATTTATTTTACATCTTAGCCACAGTTTTTCTTCCCTCCTCTTCCCAGTTCCTCTCCCCACCCCTTCTGTTCCCACCCCCAATCCACTCCTCCACTGTTTCTGTTTAGGAAAGGGCAGGTCTTCCATGAATATCAACAAAACATAGAGTTGCAGTAAGACTAAGCACCTCCCCATGTATTAAGGCTGGACAAGGTGACCCAGTATCAGGAGTAGGGTCCCAGAAGCCAGCAAAAGAGTTGTAGACAGTCCTTATTCCCACTATTAAGAGTCCCACAAAAGACCAAGCTACATAACTGTAACATATATGCAGAGGGCCTAGGTCAGTCCCATGCAGGCCCCCTGGTTGTCAGTTCTGTCTCTGTTAGCCCCTATGAGCCCTGGTTAGTTGATTCTGTGAGTTTTCTTGTGGTGTTCTTGACTCTTCTGGCTCCTACAATCATTTTCTCCCCCTCTTCTGCAGGATTCCAGTGCTCTGCCTAATGTTAGGCTGTGAGTCTGCATCAGTTTCCACCAGTTGCTGGATGAAGCCTCTTTGGTAACAGCTGGGGTAGGCACCAATCTATGCGTGTACCTGCTTGAGTTCTTGCCTGCCTTGACTTCCCTCAATGATGAACTGTCACCTGAAAGTACAACCTGAAATATTCCCTTTCTCCCCCAGGTTGCTTTTGGTTGGGGTGTTTTATCAAAGCAACAGAAAACAGAATAGAACAATGTGTTCTAGTTTGTGAAAAATATGTACTGACTGAAGTGTCTACCAGTCATGGACCTAGTATCTATAGCTGTTGAAGCCAGGAATGATGGTACAAGCTTGTCATCACAGAACTTGGGCATTTGAGGCAGGAGTATTTGGGGTTCAAGGTCATTCTTGGCTATAGAATGAGTTTGAGGCCAGTCTGAACTATAGAGTGAGGATTTTGCCTCAAAAATCAAAGTCAATATACATATAAACCAAATTAATTAGCGTTGTCAAAGGAAAAAAAAATCCCTGCTTGGTACTTGCAACTTTTCTGTAGCTTGAAGAGTCTCTCTCTCTCTCTCTCTCTCTCTCTCTCACACACACACACACACACACACAGCCATTCAGCCATTGGCCCAGTGACTATTTTAGGACTCTGTTAGAGGGAGGTCATCAGAGCTCTTCCTCAGGCTGTGTGTAGAAAGAGGCTTCACCCCCTCCCAGGCAAGCTTCCAGGCAGCAGCAGTTCCCTATAGTAAATGCTAGAATACCACTTCCCTACTAGGCTATCAGGCTCCACGGTGTTGGAACTTGCCCCCCTGCGGTGATCTTATAAACTAGTTTACCACTATGTAGATGGGGAAAAAATGTTGCAACCTTTAGAAAATGCCCAGAAATTTCTGAAAGACTAAGTTTAGGAAAGCAGGCTGACTGAAAAAAGGCAGGGTGTGAGTTGCTTTTCCCATCGCTGTGACAAAATGCCAGATAAAAACACTTAAGGAAGGAAGGCTTGCTTTCTGTTCAGGCTACAGTCCACCATGGCAGGGGAGATATGGAGGCAGGAGTGTGGAGCAGCTGGCCACACTGCACCCACAGGAAGCAGAGAGAGCTGGATGCTGGTCCTCTGTTCACTTTCTTCTTTTTATGCAGTCTAGGACCCTTGCTCTAGCTTGCTTTTTGTTGCTGTGACAAAACACTCTGAATAAAAGAAAGTTCCGGGAGGAAATGGTTTATTTCATCTTAAACTTCCAGGTTACTGTCCTTCAGTGGAAGGAAGTCAGAGCAGGAACTCAGTGCAGGAACCTGAAGATGGGCCTGCTTGCTATTCTGCTCTATATTACCAGAGAACTCTCTCACAGCCAAGGAAGTACAGCCGGAATCACAGAGGATGCTGGCTCACTCCCTCACTCATGTTTAGTTAGCTTTAGTTTTTTGTATCGCCCAGCTTTATTTATTTATTTATTTATTTATTTATTTATTTATTTATTTATTAGCCCAGGCCCATCTGCCTAGGGACAGTGCCTCCCACAGTAGGCTGGGCCCTCCATCATCGATTAATAATCAGAACAATACCCCACAGACATGTCCACAGGCCAATGTGATCTAGGCAATTCCTTAATCCAGGCTTTCCTCTCAGAAGACTCTAGGCTATGTCAAAATTGGCAATAAAGGCTAACTTGGAGAGGATGGTGCCGCCTACAGGGTGGGTCTTAATTACCCAGTCTAGAAACTCCCTTATACACAGAGGTTTATCTCCTAGGTGATGCTAGATGCTGCCAAGTTGACTCTCAATATTAACCAACACAGAGAGGCATGCCAGAGGGAGAGAGAGAGAGAGAGAGAGAGAGAGAGAGAGAGAGAGAGAGAGAGAGAGAGAGCGCACCGCACAATTGGAGGAGATAGAGGGAGCAGAGACATAACTAGGGAAGACCTGGGAGGATGATGAGGTGCTCTTTTGGGCCATTACAGCCCTTCTCTGCCACTCTAAATGGACCAGCTTAGCCAGAGCCCAGGTTCTGCAGTGTTTTGAACCCTAAAGTCACTCAAACTATATAAATTCTGGGGGCCTGGGTGTGAAATAAGGACAGCACTATGGTGTGGCTCCCTCAAGGCCCTCACAGGCAGTTCCATTGTAGGTCCCAACCTTCCATATCTTTACTCACAGTCACCTTACCTCACAGGGCTGTGCTGTGCATAGAGTGGCCCAGTCATTCATGTGGGAAGAGAAATTCTGCAGGCCTCAGCATGTCTGGCTGTAGTTGCTGTCTGGGAAGGAAACTAGGGCCCACACGTGGGTGACAGAGGACATGTGTGGGGGAGTGTCACAGGGCTACCCCATGTCTGCAGCTCTCAGAAGCTGAGGATGGGGAACCTAGTGACACAGCACGAGGCTCTGAGTTGAGAAATCGGCTGGTGACTCATTGAGGGGCCTTGGAAACTCTCTGATGATGTCTACTTCCTCTTCCTGTTAGCGCATTGATATCCAGGGTTAAAACCCATCTCCCTACTTGGAGGGGTAGCAGGGCCTGCAGGGGAGGCAGCTGAGGCTTGGGTGAAGTCATCTATCTGCCAGCCCTTTGTAGATGCTTACCTGGCCTCGCTCAGGGACACCTAGAGCACAGCTGAGATGGCCAGTTCCCTCAGGAGCTCCTGGCTGGCCCCTCTGCATCCTCTTTACCTTTGTTAATCTTCCACTGGACCCACTGGAAGGATGGTACATGGGAGACCTCAGTAATTTTATGACGGCCTTACAAGAAGAGTAATGGCGGGTGACTCTCTATGCCAGGCTGTGCTGTACTCCAGCTTGTTCACTCATTGGTCCCCTTGCTGAGGGGGAGTGGAATGGGGGTGAGGGTGAAGTGGGACAAATGATACTTGCACATTGCTGCTGAGTCAGTTCAAGTCCCAGGTGCTTAGGTAACACGTTTGCCCTTCATTGTCTTCTTTTTGCCCATTGGCTTGGCGTGAGGCCCGAGGACAACCTCAGCTATAATTCCTCCATAGTCTTCTGCCCTGACTTTTGAGATAGGGCCACTCATTAAGAGCTACAGTTTATCCAGCAGGCTAGGCTGTCCGGCCCAGGACTCCCAGGGATCTGCCCATCTCTGCCTCCCTTACAGGCCCACAACCACCACATCGGTGCCAGGGCTCGAACGCATGGCCTCTTACTGGATGAACTATCTCCTTAGCTATCCCAGTTATCTCAAACATCTTTCTTGAGCCCTGGCTCACAACCCTCTGAGGTGCTCACCTCAGGTACTGTAACCACCTCAGGTACTGTGAACCGGAAGCCATACACCAGTTACCTTGATAGCTTAAGAACATTGTTTTTACCACCTAGAGGAACTCAGAACACTTAGCTGCCTCCCCTTCACTATATTCATTAACTGTTAACAGCTGAAGCAGCTGGTGACTAGCGGTTACCCTATTGGTGGATGATGGTGGCTCTGGGGACAGTTTCTTCTCCTTTTCCTCATGTGTGGCTCTTCACTGCCTTATTGGGCCCATGCCTACCTCAGATGCTGATTTCCATAATTAATCGGTACTTAGGGGTAGGAGTGTGGGATTGGCTGGGACAGTGATTCAGTCTATATACTGATTGCTTTGCAAGTACAGCACCTGAGTTCAATCCCCAGCACCCACATAAAAAAAAAAAAAAAAACAAAGAAGCTCTCCCAAAATAAACATGGGAGGTTGCCATAGGGCTAGGCGAATGGCTTAGTGGGTAATCATACTTACTCTGCAAATATGGGGACCTGAGATTGAATCCCCAACATGCACATAAAAAGCTGGGGATGACCACATGTGATTATAACTCCAGCATTGGGGGATGGGCACAGGACGATCCAGAAAAGGCTGGCTAGCCAGCCTAACCCAAATAGTGGGCTTCTGGTTCAGTTAGAGACCTGCTTCAAAGTCATAAGGTAGAAAATGATAGAGGAAAACACTTGGCACCCCCTTCTCTGCCTTCTACATGTGAGCACATGGGGACACTCATATTCATGTACATGTGCCACCACACACACACACACACACACACACACTTTTAAAAATGAAAGAAAGCTAGCTGTGGTAGTGCACACCTTTAATCCCAGCACTTGGGAGACCAAGGTTGGTGGCTGTGAGTTCTGGGCCAGCCAGAGGTGAGACCTTATCTCAAAACCAAAACAAATAAAGCAAAAAATTAAAGAATTTAAAAAAGAGTGTGGGGTTGGGGCTTTCCCAAAGTGGCTCTGGGTCATGTGTCTTGACCCAGAATTACATGTGACTTTCTTCTCAGGCTAGTGGGAAAAAAGAAAATCTAGGCCTATGGTGTTTGCTGACAGCATGGCAGTCCTTGAGTAGTAAAAACAAATAAATACAAATACACAGGTAGAAAAAGAAACAGGCCACGGTCAGATTGCATCTGCACTGCTGAGAGCAGGAGAACCACAGGCACCCTCTACTTGGTAGCAGATGCCACCTGCCTTTGTCACAGATGGCAACCCTGAATCTTCAGGTAGCAGCACGACACACCTGAGGCCTTGAGGTCAACGGCATGTGCTCATGAACTCCGGTAAGGCTCTGCTTTCCCTGAGGAGAGTCTGCCCCTTGCAGGCTTGATTAGCAGAGTCTAGAAGATGGAGATGGCTGTAACCCTAAACAAGTAAAGAATGGTCCCCAAAGTATAGCCAATGACCAAAACGAGAAAAACAAAACAGAAAACAAAAACAACAGAAAGAATTTTTGAAATCATTCTGCTTAGTTTTCTTGTTTGGGATGTCAGAAGGCTCAGTGGAAGTGGTCTGGAGAAGGTGCGGCTGAGCTTGACTTCTAGTGCAGCTTTGGCAGCAAGCAGCTGTAGCCACTGTGCGGTTTCCTCCGTGTGTGTGTGTGTGTGTGTGTGTGTGTGTGTGTGTGTGTGTGTGTGTGTGTGGCTTCTTGGCTGACAGCCCTCCACTCCAAGCAGCAAGGCACCAGGATGGCTGTGACAGCTGTCAATCAGAGGATTAAATTGCCCCACCCCAAATCTTAGTTTATTTAAAGGAAAAGTAAACATAAAATTGGGTGCTTACAATAAAGGCTCACTACTAACCCTAACAGTGCTTACCTCCTGTCTCTGTACTCCAGGAATCTGTGGGTCTTTCTGGTCATTCTTAGTCTTCACCAGGAATAGTCAGTCCTGTAGTTAATTTGATACAAAAGGTGCCTTTAGCTCAGAAAACAGGGAAGACAGTGGAAGACTGCTGTGTCCCCATGATGAAGAGAAAACACTCTCTGGAGAAGTGAAAGAACTGCTTCAGCCTGTTGGGTGTTTCAGTGACAGGGATCTTCAGGGGAGCGATTGGGTTTGTTTAGGATTTTCCAGGAAGTGGGCTCATGGGACAGGTGGCTGGATGGACCATTTTCAGAGGCTTTGAGGAGACAGAGCAGACCCTGTCAGGTGAGTGGCACCGTCTCTGGAGTTCATGGTTCCAGTCTATGTTTGCAAAGGAGCTAAGGTAGTGTGAATGCAGAGTGTGAACACAGTCTGTGAAGTGACTTCACACTGCCTCTGCAAACAGCTGTCCATAGTTGCATTTATGCGGAAAGGTGTGTGCAAAGTCATTATCCAGGGTTTTAAAAGTTATTCCGTGGCTCAGCCCCTCAGGGCTGCTTATGGGTTTGAAGAGCAACAACATCACACTTCACGAGTGACAGATGGCGTTTATCAACCCTTGCATGATTGTTTATGGAGATGGGGCTGGGAGCCCCTGCAGGTGGGACCCAAGTGGTTGATTCTGTGTAAGGAGGGGAGGGGACACTGCACATCAGTTCTTCTGTTGCTGTCTCTGGGGCCCTGTTGTATTCCCAGTTCTTAGTTCTGGTCCTCCCCGTCTTCCGCCCCTGCATCCACTGCCCACATTCTCTTGACACTGTAAGTGTGTGTGCTAAGTTCCTGGGCAGCTCTGACCCACTTATTAGGTTCTCCCCCACCACCCCGAGTGTGTGGCGGGTTCATGTGGAGACCACCGGTCCATATCAGGTATCTTCCTCTATTATATTCTATTTTCTAATTAGGGATAGACTCTTTCATTGGACCTAGAATTTACTCTTTGGGTTAGACTATCTGGCCAGTGAGTCCCAGGGGTTACAGACACCTGCTGCCATGCCAGGATTTTATGTGGGTGTTAGAGATCTGAACTCAGACCTCATACTTACCCAGCCAGCACCACACACACACACACACACACACACACACACACACACACACCTCTGCCTTACTAAGAATAATTGAAAGAGGAGATGGGTACAGACAGTCTGATTACATAGGTAACAATAAAGAATGAGGGAGGGATGATTTTGCCACAGTGGAATCTACCGTGTTTGCCCTGCTAGGGGCTCCCTCTTGATCCGAGAGGCCACAGGAAAATCCTTTCTGAGCCCCTAGGCATGGCTGAGAGAATGAAAATATAGTTCTAGTACAGACCAGAACTGGGAAGGGAAGAGCTGTGTTCCCCACGGGGTGTGAGGTGCTCATGTCTGTCTCTCTATACACCCCAGAGAAGATCAGGAGGCATGCAGAATCTAGGGAGTGACCAGGACCCAGGTGTAACAGCAGCATGACATTTTTGCAGGAACTGAAAAGGCCCTTGGCTCTCTCCTTCTGTCCCTGCCTTCCATCTTCCCTGTTTGACTTCTCCTGTCTCTTTCTAGTAGACAGGCCCATCCCTCATAGGTGAACCCCTTGGCTCCCTATGTTCTTCTTTGTTGCACTGCTGTCTGTCCTGTAGAAGACAGACACTTGTTTCTCCAGTTCTCTGCTAGGAAGCCACGAGCTTTCCCCAAATGTGACTCAAAGGATGTGAGGGTCATACCCAGGGCAGTTCTAAAATGGGACGGGCAATTGTTGGTTTTGCTTCCTGGGAAGGTTTCGAAAGATCCTGCCATACTTCCTGATAGAAAACAACTGAGAAACCCGTGCACAATGCAAAATAGAGCTGCTGGTGTGATGGGAGCAAAGAACTGTGGGATTGGGGCCCTGGGGTGGAGCAGCAGCATAGGGTAGTTGCTGGGGCTTTGTGGCTTCTTCTTCTTTCTTCTTCTTCTTCTTCTTCTTCTTCTTCTTCTTCTTCTTCTTCTTCTTCTTCTTCTTCTTCTTCTTCTTCTTAAGGACTAACTGGGTATGGTTTGAGCCTTATGGCAAGAGGCAAACACCTCCAGGGAAAAGCACAGACCTCTGGCCTAAAGGACAGGAACCAGAAACAGGAAGTTGTGGTCGCCAGAGTGGGAGCTTCCAAAGACGGAAGGAGAAGAGAGAACTTTTAGATTATTCACTCTCCCACTTCACACCCTCACACACAGGGTTGGACACAGACACACAGACAGACAGGCAGACAGACAGACAGACATGCATGTGCA